AACATAGGTGAAGACACATTTCCAGTCTGGCTGGTCGCCCATCATTAGCATATCGTCGACCTCCAGCAGTCGCACGACTCCATTTTGCCTGCAAGAAATAATTTATTTTTGAAACTTTATGCAGTAACCACAGATTCTTAAAAAACCGGAAGAAAATTGATAAAATGTTTCCGCTGCTTGTGATAACAGTAAGTATATGTATGTTATCAAAATACACATGGATATTCAGGTAGGATTTGTCATATGGGTTGGTAGCGTAGTGGATGACACGTTACGATTCGAAGAAATCAACGATTTTGACGATAAGATGTTCGATCTCCTCCCGATCTTAGTTTGAAAAAAGAGGTCCCGTTTGGCGTCAGTTAAAAGCAGCTTTACAAATGGCTAAGAGTCTACCACTAGAACTGCATTAAAAAAGCACACAGACTCTAAATTATACGAGCACTAAAAACCGCAAAAACACCTCATTTTAGCTATGCTTAAATGGGATTCATGTAGAAAAAAAAGAACCAACTCGGCCACCCTAAATGCCAATTCAAAATTCTCTCTTCGATCTTTCGGATTGAGTGTTCGAAAATCGAACGAATTTGGTGCGAATCGATGTATCAATGCACAGAATGCCATTCCATCAGCCCAACTGGATGAAAAGTTTCTGATTTCAACCTGAAATAAGCTAGAATTGATCATCCTCTCTTACGATGTCTCAAGCTGTGATGCTGGATAGTTTTAGCGAAATTGATACTTTGTCTGGTTTTATGCATTTCGAAATGTGTAGAAGAAAAACGCTACAGGGCTGAATCTCTCACCTCAGTGTAGATTCTCTTTTCGGATAATTCAACAGAACTACGAAACTCAAAAACAAAGGTTTATAAGCCGCAAACGAAGCACAGGGCCAAAACATTAGACAAGTTTGCGATACGCTCTATTACAACTTTTGGTTCCAAGTCGGTTTTAACCACAAACGGGACAAGGTGAATTAAAAACAACCCAAATATAAGACCAATGAGGATGGAGCTGATGCCATGCTGTAGATGACACATGCGATGAAGCTGTTTGTGTTTCATTCCTTAGCTGTAAACACACATAGAAATTGCCAGTACAGCTTCCTTATCCATC